GGTTGCACATGAGAAGACATATGAATATGGATACAACTCAAACAATTTTTTTTATTCTCAACAGAATGACACGTGGTCTGTAATGGGAAAACATTACGCCCGAGCTAAAGAGGTTTATTGGTACCCAACTACTTCGAGTTGATGTACTTAGTGATTAGTCCTCGAGCCCCAATGAGCTATTAACTTATAGCCCATACGGGCATGAGGACTTATTGTTTTAGTCAAATCCAACTAGTCGGTCAAATACATAGATTCAAACAAGTTTTGAATTAAAGTCAAATTTGATATTTTATATTTTGAAAGCAGGCACTTTTCGCTACTAGTTGGATATAACCTATAGCTTAGTAGTAGTTCATGCAATCAGAATGCAGCATTAATGATAGACAATTAGTTGGATTTGACTAATTCTTTGTACAAATACCTTGATATATTTTGTATTCTACAGTAGCGTTAAAACTATCCCTGTCTTTAGCCTGGACAGTCGTCACTACGGTACCCTGGTATGAACCAATAATCAAAATCAGACAACAGACAATAGGACRTTTGCACGATGTCATCATTTGACTCCCACTACCAAGATGCTTCGCGAAATTTCTTATTTAAATTTGTATTCCCCCATGAGAATAGTAAGACAATTGGTGCTAATTAACTGAACAAAAGAAAGTGTGCAAGGGAGTCTGGTAGTAGAGGTCAATGACTTCATCGTGCAAACGTCCTATTAAAATATAAGAAAAAATCATCCGATGAAATAAAATTTCCCTATATAAGCCTTTTCATAGTTTAAGAATCGATTCCACTGCGCATGCGATCTTATCCCGAATTTCTCACCTTCTTTTGTTTAATTAAGAACAAAAGAAGGTTTAAACAAAGGAAGATGAGAAATTCGGGATAAAATTGCATGCGCAGTGGAATCGATTCTTAAACTATGAAAAGGCTTATTCGGGAGAATTAAGCAACCACCCTTCCACGTTATCCAAGTAAAAACAATATTAAACTTTCCCATTTACTTACCGGCAGAGAATCTTTGGCTAGTGTTGTTTCGTACAAATTCTTCTCAAACTTCGCACCCAAATCATCCACATCCAGAACGTTGATGGTCAACACTGCTGTAGAATTTAGATAAGGACTGGAAAGGGTGTTCTGTGTCCATGAAAAGTAAACAGATAAAGGAATAAAATACAAAAATATAAAAGAATAATGGACCGTATAAAGTATTAAAGTTTATATAAGTAATGTTAAACTAGATATAATTAGCTTAATATTTTTAAAAACTTTGTGAAATCGAAGTTCATTAGAAAATATTTGTTGCTACAAAATTTTCTTTTGAATTTTCTTTCTTTCTTTCTTTTCTTTTCTTTTGCTTTGAAACCGGCTGGTCACTCTTCTTAAAATTAAATTATGAATCCACAGGAAGCCCCAGCAGTTCTCTTGAGGCCTAAATAATCTTTTTTTTTTTTTGGTATACCTAGCTTCGAATTGTAAAACTTATTGTCAATAAACTTATCTTGATGTGAACCTAACGATAAATGAAGGTTTTGCCGCCCTCCGATGTCATTTAGAGGTGTTTTTAACAGTGTCAGTGTCTCCTCGTAAGAAAAAAAGACAAGGCGGGAAACCTCAGTGGCGACCAGCTCTCACTCAAAGCCATTTTAATGGTCAAAAATGCTAACTTTCAAAATTATAACCCCATCCTCTTAAAACGATAAATTTCCTTTCCATAGGTACCTATTTGAAGGCGATTTTTCTATAGCTTCATCCGCGATGCATCACTAAGAGAATCGAACCAAAGGTATAGCTAAAAGGCACGAGCGCGCTCATTGGTTGAATGAGAACAATGTCTTGGTACAAAAATGCTACTCACCACAGGAGAATCTACAATAAAATAACAGATTTTGAATATTCAGACGACATTTACACACCTTTGCGATAATTCGAAACACGAACTGTTTTGTACCATCGTCATAGTCGAGAGATTTCTTCAGTTTAATTTGGCCATCAGCGGGATTAGGGAATTCAAATCTTCCTTCCTGGAAAAGTGAATGTTATTTTCTTAGCAAAAAATAACAAGTGAGACTTGACTTTATGAGGAATTGTAGAAAAACATACAGGGGAACGACATCAGGATCAAGAAATCAAAATCTTATAATCTAATAGACCTATAGTTTAACTTGGGTATAATCTTTCTCCATTCCAGACCACATGTCATTCTTTTGAGAATACGGTTCTTTGTTTGAGTTGTAGCCATGCATATTCATATCTCGATTTTCTCCTGCGCAACCATTAAACAAAGAAATGATACTCTAGGGAATGACAGGTGGTCTGTAATGAAATAACATATCATTCAGACTAGTGGAGAACTGTGGAGAGGCCTATTAGACACCTATTAGATACAGCAACATCTACTTTCAACTCCTTTATATGACCCTTACCTCATTACCAGTTTCAATGGCAAATTCGAAGGCATTAGCAGGGGATGAATCTTCATCGGTTGCACTCACTGTAAACACTAATGAACCTACAGAGGTATCCTGAATGAAAAGACTTTTTATCAATTACTCTAATTATTTCAAATTCATATTTTGATATTCTATCAAATACCGGTATTGAATTAAGACACTAAACATTATCCCTCCTGACCTCTTTAATGTTGATACTCTTCGGCAGGTTATTGAAGACCGGAGGATTGTCATTAATATCCCGGATCTGTTGAATCACATCTGCTTCTCCCTAGAAACATTAAAGTATTAAATATTTAGTCAAGTCAGGATTGACTTGAAAATAAAAGAATATGAAAATAATCAATATTAGCATAAACCTACTAGCATACTTCCTCATACTATCCATCCATCCATCCATCTTGACTTGAAAATAAAAGAATATGAAAATAATCAATATTAGCATAAACCTACTAGCATACTTCCTCATACTCATTAATAATTCATGAGTAAACCAGCCAATCAATGGGCTATTTTTGGGTTACATTATGTTACTTGAAACCTGGTAAAGTCCTGTGAAAGGAATGCGTTCAGTCTGGAGTAACTGGAACAAAATTAATTCAGTCCTAGGACTGAATTAATTTTGTTCCAGTTACTCCAAGTCGAATAATTAATGAGATGAGAAGTCATTTCAAAGCCTCCAATATCGGACTGGACGGGATTTCAGCTTTGACTTGAAATCCCGTCCAGTCCTCATTGTCGGCTTTGAAATATTACATCACGATCATCTGATTTGCTAACGTTAACACTATCTATCCTGTTCCTCAAAGAACACAAAAAATCCACAAGACAACTTATTCACATGTATTCAAGAAGAATTTTAAACGGTAAGAACAGACGATACACTAAAGTGCAAAGTGCAAATTAACTGACAAGAAGCGAATTGTAAACATGGCACGGGTTTGAATGATCTGACAACAAAGTATTTGGGAATAAATCCGTTTAGTTTATTACTCACTCAATTAGAAAAGCACCCAAGAACAGATAAAAAGATGGATGATATTGGAAGGATAGTTTTGACCGTAATATTAGAGACAAAAAGCTATAGAAATAGAGCACTACTTGAAGTTTAAGCTTATACGTTAAGATAGTCGAGTTCGCAAAGATGAATGAAAACGGTGCCACTAGTTGATCGTCGTTTTGTTCAGTAAAGTTTTCAGTGTCATTGTTTGTTTTCAAAACTATAATATTAGCTAGTAGGTTTATGCTAAAACAATTAGATTACTCGTTCTCGTTTTGGGATGGGATGGGATGGGATGGGGATGGGATGAGATGGGATGGGATGGGATGGGATGGGATGGGATGGGATGGGTCGGGATGGGATGGGAGATAAAAAAACGATACCACTGACAGCTTTTTAGCAGTATTATTTTTCAAATACAACACTAGATAACCGTTGCTCTTCTTTCATTGGTGAATTGCCGTTACATGTTAGTATCATGTTATGTTCTTACTGTATTTGTGCCGTCTGATGCAAATACTTTGTATCTAAACGTGCTCCCCATCGCCTGC